GCAACTTAACACACTGTGTTCTCAGGTGAGAGACTGACACCAGCTTCTGCAGACAATAGGATGTCATTCAGGAGTCACAAGCTCCAGGCCGGCCTGGGCGAAACAGTGAGGCTCTGTCTGCCAAAGAGGAAAGGACATAAAGGAAAGAAGAAAAAGAGCCAGGGTCTTGGTGATACATGCCTGAAATCCCAGGACTCAGGAGATGGAGGCAGGAAGACCAAGGGTTCAAGGCCAGCCTTGGCTATACAGAGTATTGGAGGCCAACCTGGGCTACCTGTCTTGAAAACAATGACCTCATTTAAGAAAATAGAAAATAAACCACCAAGAATAAATGTATCAAGTATTTTAAATCTATGAAAAACCCTAAAGTCTGAGCAACAGGCAGATATAAGGTTATATATCATATCTGAGTTAGTGCTCCAAAAGTCAGTGTATATATCTAAAGTCACTCCAATAAAAAGAATTTGGAGAATAAAGAGAGACAGGAAATGTGGCCATAGAGAATATTGAATGAAGAGTACAAATAAGCCAAAGTCGCCATGAAAAATCTAAAATAGCAGAAAAATAAGTAAGTTCTATGCAGATGACACCACCAACTTCGCCATCACCATCATCTTCATCTTCTTCTTAGATTCTTTCTCTCCTCCTTTTTGGTGTTTTTTTGTTTTTTTGTTGTTGTTGTTTTGGATTTTTGAGACAGGGTTTCTCTGAAGTTTCTGGTGCCTGTCCTGGAACTAGCTCTTGTAGACCAGGCTGGCCTCGAACTCACAGAGATCCGCCTGCCTCTGCCTCCTGAGTGCTGGAATTAAAGGCATGCGCCACCACCGCCCGGCCGGTTTGTTTTTTTTTTAGGTTTTGGTTTTTTTGGCTTTTGGTGGTGGTGGTGTTGGGTTTGGTTTTTGTTTGTTTTTGTTTTGTTTTGTTTGAGACAGGGTTTCTCTGTGTAGCCCTGGCTGTCCTGGGACTTGCTCTGTAGAACAGGCTGGCTGCAAACTCAAAGAGATCTGCCTGCCTCTACCTTCTGAGCACTGGGATTAATGGCGTGCATCACCACTGCCCTGTGACACCTCCAAGTTCTAATAACTTTCGGTGACTCTTAAAGAAATGGTAAAGGAAGCATGACCCAACTAGAAATCTGTGTCCCCTTTCTTCACTCCCACTGACACCTCCCTAGTGACAAAGGTCTCTGTCTTCTATTAGCATTACTCTCCCATCTCTGGCCCTAACCATGCATGAGTCTTGTCTTCCAAAGACCTTACATAGTATTCTCTTCAATATCCAACCACACCCATGCCCTGGCCAGTTAGTTTCAACAACTTCTCCCAGTGGCAGTTCAAATGCCACTGCCCTAGACATACTTTCCTTAGCCGCCCAACCCAGCGCGAGTGCCCATCTTTTCTCTCAGCATCCATCAATGCCCCTCTGTTGTCCTTATCGCAGCTCAAAATCACGTATTTCTTTGCTTGCTTTGTCCAGCACAGTGTACCAAGAGCTCATCACTGGATACAGCAAACAGTAAAGATCCAGTAGAAGTTTGTGAAGCAAAGATAAACATGGAAGTAGAGAATTAGGTCATGATGACCCTGTAAGAGGGAGAGGGATCTCTTTCCAAAGCCTTCCTAATAACTGCAGAAGAAAAGAAAATCTGCCTCAACTAGTATCAGGACACTAGGCCGCATGTGTGCAGAGGGCGCGGAGTGTCTCGGAAGCAGGCATGTAGGGGAATGTGTGTTGTCTTCTGCAAACATTGAGATTCAATTCTGCTGCCTCTCTGCAGATTCTTCGGGTAGATTGTAGTGGAGAATCTCTCATCTGACTGTGGGAATTGGGAATTAGTCAGCAGCTTTCTAATAGGTCTCCACAGAAAATCTGTGGCCTTGCCTCTTGGCATCCTGCTCTGCTTGGCTAGGACTAAACCAATAAACACTTGTGACTTGGGTACTCTGTGTATCTTTGTTCAGTTCTCAGAATAGAGCCGGCATTTGTATTGTTTCTCAAAGTAAACTAAAACCAATCATCAGGGAATAATTTGGTACCTTGGCACCAGATGGTGTGTGTATGTTTGACAGAGGAGCAAGTTAATCTGCCCATGAAGCACGAAGAAGAGGCTTCTACCCAATTTCTGTTTGAAGAGTGAGACCACACATTTCTTGTTGCAGCCAAATGCACAGCATCTCTTTGCGTTGAACATGCCTTATGTGTGATACACAAGTTAGAACAGAATGGCCCCTGAATAACTTTGGGACTACCTCTTTTCCTCTCTATTTCAAAAACAGACACACTGGAGCTGGAGACATGGCTCATGGGTAAGAGCGCTTATTGTTCCTACAGAGAACCAGGGTTCAGTCCCCAAATCGGCTGTAACTCGGGTTCCAGAGAATCTGATGCCCTCTTCTGGTGTAAGAGGGTATTCACACACCTGTGGTACACATAAATTTGAACAAGAGCACACACATATAGATCAAAATAAAATGTTTTTTCAAAAGCATGCGCTGAGGAGACAGTTGGTCAGTAAAGCACTTTCTGGACAAGCATAAAAAACTGAGTTTGGATCTCCAGCACCCACGTTAAAAATAATAATAACACTCAGGAGGCAGGAGGATATCTGTGAGTTTGAGCCCAGCCTAGTGTACAGAGGGAGTTTCAGGACAATCAGAGCTATTACACAGAGAAATCCTGTCTCAAAAAACAACAGTAATAATAATTATTATGATAATAACAATAATAATAATCTTTAAAAATAGAAACAAAAACCAGGCTGGTGAGATGGCTCAGTAGGTAAAGGCACTTGCCAAAAACCTGAAGACCTGAATTTGATCCTCAAGTCCCACATAGTGTAAAGAAAGAACCAGTTCCCACAAGTTGTTGTCTGACCTACACATGCACACCCTAGCTGCTGGACACACACTAAATAAAAAAAGTAAATTAAATTTTTGTAAAAAAAAGGCAGGTTCGGGGGAAAGAAGTTGAGACCAGTTGCCCTTCAAAATGAGCTCCGTTGGGAAGGAACACCTAGGACCATGGAGGTCTTGATCACACTTGAGCTGGGACTGGGAGAGGATAAGAGGGACAGCCTAAAGTGAAAACAGGGCAAGACAACTGAGGTAAACAGCATGCAGGGAGGTGGGGGAGGGGAGGGAGTTTCCCCAGGGTGGGAGCCTGGCCACAACTCAAAGCCATTTTCAGGGGAGGCTCAGAGCCGTTTACTGAGACCAGGAAGAACATTTGTTGCCAAGTCCTTGCTAGACCAGGAGGAGAGGGACCAGAGCCACAGGGGATCCAGGCCGGATATCCAAAGGCGGCCAGAGGCTCTGTGATCTAACACCTATAATCCCAGAGTTCGCGGAAAGATGAAGCATGAGGACTCTAGGTTCCAGGCTGTCCTAGGCTGCACAGCAAGATCCTGAGTTTAGAAGAAGAAGAAGAAGAAGAAGAAGAAGAAGAAGAAGAAGAAGAAGAAGAAGAAGAAGAAGAAGAAGAAAAAAAAAAAAAAAAAAAAAAAAAGCCAGGCCTGCAGGTTCCAGGCTGTCCTGAGCTACACAGCAAGACGCTGACTTCAGAAGGAAAAAAAAAAAGACCAGGCGTGGTGGCACACACATGTAATCCCAGCACTCAGGAGGCAAAAGTGAGAGGATCCTGCGAATGAAGTCAGAATGAGCTATACAGTGAGATCCTGAACTACATCCCTAAGTCCTTAGTGCCTTTTCTAAAATCATTATGGGGGCGGCGGGGGGGGGCACATGTATCGCAGCATGCGTGTGGAGCTCAGAGGACAGCTTTGTGGAGTCAATCGGTTCTCTCTTTTCACCTTTGCATGAATGCTGGGAATGGAACTTAGGTCTTCAGGATTGCAGATCAGGCAGGAAGCACCTCTACCTTACCATGATGTCGTCCCATTCGCTATCTTAAGCAGGCTTTCCCTCACAACACTACTCTAGTCCAAAGAAAAAGACAAAAGCCACCAAGGGATAGGAAACAAAGAGCTGGGGGATGGGATGCTTAGAGACCTCAAAGGGGAAAAGGGTAACCTACATAGCTAGGTATCCGGAGACAGTGGGAAGTTCTCTGGTTCTATCCGAGAGACAAGGCCAGGGAACACACTGGGATCTTGCCCCTCATGACAACATATCCCATGAGGTCTGCTTGGTGGGCCTTATCACAGCCCGTGCTATAGCACTTCTGCCAGGCAGGCCATGACCTATCGCTCTGACACAGATCTTTGCATGGGTTCTGATCAGGAAGGTACTGTTCCTCTTTTACTGAAAAAGATTTCATACTAAATTGAGATAATTGGTTAGGACTAAAGAGATGGGCGGGGGGGGGGGTCAGCCTCTTCCACTGGGGGCTGAAGAGATGACTCAGCTGTTAAGAACAATGCTCTTCCAGAGAACAAAGGTTCAGTGCACAGCACCCATCTCTGGTAGCTCCCAACCATCTGTACCTCCAGTTCAAGGGGATCCTACTCCCTCTTCCAGCTTCCACAGGCACCCATACACACTTGACATACATACAGAGAGACACCTACATACATCTTTTAAAAAAGAGAGAGAGAGAGAGAGGGAGAGAATGAGAGTCAAATGTATCTCAAGGAGCTCAGCATCTCCATGAACTCCTTCGCAGATCATCTCTGCAACCCCCTTCTCTTCTCGCCACACAGATACCCACACACCCTATAACTACTAAGACAAGTAAACCAGTACTGCTGCAGAGGAAGACAGAGAGACAGAGACAGACGGACAGAGAAAGGGGACTGTTGCATGGCCCTGTCCTCATTAAATGAACTCTAAGCAATAGCTGGACTGTCTATCCTTGTAAGTCCTAACTCCTTGTTGCAGGGAGGGCAACAAAACCCAAGCAAACTTATTCTTACTGTCCCAACATTCTACCCATCCAGTTCTTCCTACAGAGATGATTGGCTCCACAGAGAAGCCTTAGAAGACAGGAGATGATCTCTCCCCTAGTAACTTTATTTTAGCCAGGGACCCCAAATGATAGCTCACCGTGCTCTCCTGCAGTTACCCAGGATGCCAGGGACCCAAGAGCGAGAAGCGCCTTCGTGAGGGAGAGGTGGTTTAACATCCTGCTGGCGTTGAGGGTTGAGAGCTCAGTTCAGGGCAGAGGCAGCAGCAGAGGAAGGGACAGAACTGGGTAACTGCTGTCAATCCAATCCCAACAGTTTTACTTTATGCAGTAACCTCCCACCACCCAAAGAACGTCTTCTCCTCACAACCAGAACAGTGATTGGCTGCTGGTGTGTGGAAATTTTCCTGGCACTGCCAAAGGGCCCATGTGATGGGAGGGACCAAATACTGTCATACAATATACATAACACTCTTAGACAAGTGATGTGGATCCCAATGGGAAGCTAGAAAAATGGAGAGGTAGCTATTGGGTTAAAGGTCAAAGAGAGACCAGGAGGACTTTGGAAGGACTCAATTGCAGTCAAAATGACAGAGGGTGAAGCAGACCAGCTGTTCTCCCTGGGTTCACACTGGGACCCTGGTGGGGAGGACCAGAGATGAGAGAATAAACAGGCCAAAGCTGGGGTCAGGAAGGCTGTGAGGGCTAATGACTCAAGCCAGCAAGTTTATTAGTATCACAGTTCTTTTCATACCTCTCAAATGGGGAGGCAGAAAACAAACCAGGGGAGTTCATCCAGCAGGAGAATCGCAAGGAACTCTAGTTCCTCTTTTGTAAAGTTCATTCTGGTACGATAAGCAAAATATTTCATATCACAGGGTTTGTAATACATAACCACAGCTTTACATGAAACCGTCGATCTCAGGGCACTGGCCTGGGCCCCCCAGAGCCCTGGCACCAGTCCATTGTTGGCCTTGCCAAGAATGGCCCTGGCAGGGAACAAAAGTTCAGTGTTCTTCCTTCCGTCCACAGAGACCTAGAAGGGCCTTTGGCCCTACCTAGCCCCTGACAGAGGGAAGAACTGGAAAGACAACTTAATAAAAAAAAAAAATTACCAAACTAGTGCTGTAACTGAAGCCTAACATTCTGTCCATCCTTGGCAACTGTCAGAACTCACGGGAAAGCAGCCTCCAAGTGTTTCAGCGTCAATACAAGTGCACAAAATAGTTTACAACTTGGTCCCTGTGAAAGGGACTGAGAGTGATCATGAGTTAATATGCAGAGAACAAAGATCCAGTCCCCCAGCCAATGTTCTTAGCCCTTGGCTTCGTGACAGGGTCTTGCTATGCAGGCCAGACTGGCCTCAAACTCCTGAGCCTCCTGCTACTTCCTCCTGAGGTCTGGGGTTATGTGCAGCATCACACCTGCCCATGGCCAGTGGTAACAATCACATCACAACAGCTCTCTTTCCTAACGCAAAACTCATACACTTCACACCACCTGATTACTGTAACTTACAAAGAGAAATGTTATCGCCCGTAATTCTACTCTTTCACAGACCCAGCTTCCCTCTGAGACAGTGCTAAGTGGGGCTCTGGAGAACATCACAATTGCTAAACCCTTCATCCTCAACCATCTAGGGGAAGGAAAACCAGCTCTCTGCAACAGGGCTAGTTCACAAGCCAAAACTCAACCTTCATTCCTGATGCCTTCAGACACAAGAGGCAGACCTAGGCTAGTGGGTATTTGGGATGGCACGGGCAGCCCTCCTCTTGTTGGCTTCTCTGGTTCCTGAATCGGATCGCTCCAATTCCAGGGCCTTGTATCAAGTTATCAGATGTCCAGCAGTTTCCAAGACTTTACTTCTGACAGCCCCCATCCGAAACCCTGGGCTCCCCAGCTGCAGTCTAGGCTCTGCCGCCCTCACACCCACACTCATCCCTCGGCACCCGAACACCCACACTCGGTCCCCAGCCGTCGTCCTCCAGGGGTTTGGAAGCCCCAACCTTATCCCCACACCCAAGATCCGGAAACCCACTCAGTCGAGGCTCCCAGGCGGCAGTTCAGTTCCCATAGCAACTGCACCGCGCACCCGCAACGCGCTTCCGGCCGGGTGGCCGGGACGCACCCGTGACGTCACGGCGCCGCTTTCCGGTGGCTGAGTCGAGCTGAGGTTGTTGTGGGTCGGGGGCGCCATGGGGGCGACTGGCGACACCGAGCAGCCGCGGGGCCCCGGCGTGGCGGAACGAGGCGGCCTGGAGTTGGGCGACGCGGGCGCGGCAGGCCAGCCGGTTCTCACGGTGAGGGCGCCCTGGCGAGGCCGGGGCTCGGGCCGGGTAGGGCCTCGGGCTCCCGGGCTCCGGGCCCGCGGGCAAGAGAACGCGGCGGCTGTGCGGCCCTGGGGTTGCCGTTTTCTCCGTGCCGTGCGACGACCTGGATTCAGATTCTAGCTAGGTGACGTGGGCCTGATGTGACAACCTCTGAGCGCCAGGTTTCTCTTCTGTGAAGTGAACAGCAGTAACCTCAGCTTGATGGAATTGTAGTGGGATGGGCTGCTAAAGGCGGGTAGAGCGCCCTTATCACCCGCCACAGAGTAGACCCTCGGTAAACACTGCTGCTCTTCCTCTTGCCCTTCCGCCGCCCTGACAGGGTCTTCCAGCCACTGAATTCCCCTTCGCCCCAAGGTGGGAGAAGTGAGAAGCAGGAACGTCTAGGTTTAGCTTTATACCCACTTTCTCCTCGTCCCCACCGCGAGAGACCTCGGTGACATTTGCTCCCTTGGTCCCCACAGAACCCTTGGAACATAATGATAAAACACCGGCAGGTGCAGCGAAGGGGCCGCCGCTCGCAGATGACTACCAGGTAAGGCTGGCCCTGGGTGAAAACCTATATCCGGTTATGTGGACTTGGGTGAATCCCACTTTGGGAATCCCACTGCGCTGAGATCAACCCGCAGAAAGAGTCCTGGAGTGGGGGGCGGGGCGGGAGGAGTCTCAGGGACTGTGATTCTCCCAGTGACCTTAAGTCAGTTTCATGTTCAGGAGCAAAACAGGGAAGGTATTACAGTCTGCTACAATCTCTCACGTATCCCCTTTCTGCGACTGAGATCTGTAAGTCGGAGAATGGAAAACCAATATTCAGACAACTGTCATAATTCAGGCTCTGACGATTATTATTATTTGGACAGTCCCTTCATTTCTCTTAGCCTCTGTTTTCTCAGCTGTGATGTGGGACTATTAGTTAAGTGTCCTGCCTAGGGAAGGGAAAGAACCCAGGATGGGCCTTTGGAATTCTAGTTGTGTTTTTGGCCAATGATTTAGTAATCACAGCACTTGACAGAGGCAGGTGGTGGGTCTCTGAGTTTGAGACCGACCTGATCTACACAGTGAGAGCCCATATATATGTGTGTGTGTATGTGTGTGTGTGTGTGTGTATAAATTTCCCACTTCACAGAGAGAGTTACGATGAAACAAAATGATGTGTGTGTGTGTGTGTGTGTGTGTGTGTGTGTCTGTAATCTGCCCAGCCTTTGAGCACAAGGCTGGTGTGTCCAGTACTGCTACTGCCCAGTCTGGGAAGTATGTTTGGGACACTTCCCCTGACTCCTGACTGTCTCCCTCCTGAATGTAGTTTCACAGACCCAGCGATCTCTATGGATCTCCTCCGTGCTGTCTTGCAGCCAAGCATCAATGAGGAGATCCAGAGTGTCTTCAACAAGTACATGAAGGTAAGAGGGGCACGGTGGTTAAAGCTAACAGCACTGCTAAAACAGACAGTACAGCCATGTTCAGTAGCGGGCCCAACTACTCAGGAGACTGAGGCAGTTGACAGCCAGCTGGGACTACATACAAGTAAGACCCCTTGGTCGAGGAAAAGAAGAATGGAGGCTGGGAAAGTGGTTCAAGGATCAGTAGTGAATGCTGCTACCTGTGACTCCAGGTCCAGGATCCAGTGCCCTCTTCTGGCCTATTCAGATATATACACAATGTATATGTTCCATAGATAGATAGATAGATAGATAGATAGATAGATAGAGATAGAGAGATATACATACATACATACATTTGGGAAAAATCTTTAAAAGAAAAGGCCAGGCATGGTGACACATGACTTTAATCCCAGCACTCGGGAGACAGAAGCAGGTGGATCTCTGAGAGTTGGAAGTCAGCCTGTTCTACCCAAGACAGCCAAGGCTACACAGAGTCCCTATCTAAAAAAAAAAAAAAAAGAAGAAGAAGAAGAAGAAGAGTGGACAAAGTGGACGCCCTGCCTTGCTCCTGATTTCAGTTTTGAGTTTTCCCTGTTTAATATAATGTCAGCTGTAGGTCTGTTATATGCAGCCTCTGTTATGTTGAGATACATTCCCTCTCTTTCAAGTTTCTTCATGACTTTTTATCACAAAGCAACATTTTATTTTGTCAGAAGCCTTTTCTGGATCTAATAAGATGATCATGTGGTTTCTGACTTGAATCCATTGTGTAATGAGTTACATTGCTGGTTTGCAAATGTTGAACCATCCCTGCATATCTGGAGTAAAACTTGCTTACTCATGTTTGCCATGTTTTCTGAAATCAGTTTACAAGTATATCGTTGAGAATTTTTCTTCTATGTTCATTACAGAGTTTGGCCTATAATTTTCTTCATCATGCTTTGGTATCTGGATAATGCAGGCTTCATAAAAAGAAGTAACTGTAGATCATGTAAAAACTTTGAAGCCACTTTGGGTTTTTGTTTTCTGGATGTTTTGGTTTGTTGTTGTTGTTGGGCTTTGGATTTTTGTTTTGGGTTTTGTTTGTTTTTTAAATTTTTTTATGTGTATGAGTGTTCTGCCTGCATGCATAGATGTGTGCCACATGTGTGCCTGGTGCACACAGAGGTCAGAAAAGGGTGTTGGATCCCCTATAGCTAGAGTTCACTGTGGGAACCGAATCCCGGTCCTCTAGAAGAGCGGCCAGTGCTCTTAACCCCTGAGCCATCTCTCCAGCCTGAGATAGTTTTTGTTCAATTGGTTTTGTTTTTAAAGTCAGTTGTTACTGGGGCTCAAAGAAGCTTAGAATCCATTATATAACCTTGGGGGGGGTTGTTTTGGGGGTTTTTTTGTTTTCTTTTCTTTTGTTTTTCGAGACAGGGTTTCTCTGTGGCTTTGGAGCCTGTCCTGGAACTAGCTCTGTAGACCAGGCTGGCCTCGAACTCACAGAGATCCGCCTGCCTCTGCCTCCCAAGTGCTGGGATTAAAGGCGTGTACCACCACCACCTGGCTGTTATAACCTTGATCCTTCTATTTCAACC